CAAAACAACCTTTAATTAATGACAAATGTGTGTTATCTTCAACGACACCCAATTGTGTCCTAATGTATCACATTCGGTTTTGAGCCGTGTTTAGATCAATCCTTCGGATCCTGGAAATTTATTCTTTGGAGATTTGCTTCCTTTCTGGCTTCCCACCCTTTATCGAACTCTTTTCGACTCAACAAACTTCAAATTTTTTATTGACGCGTACTTACTTGAGGGACTGTCTTCTTCCAGTACAAATGGTATTGTTCACCTCCAACCGAGTCTACTCAGTTCCGGCTGATTCTTACACAATGCAAGAAGCTAGATCCGACCAAAATATTATTTCGTAATTCGCACTGCTTTATAAAATTTTGCAGTTTTTAGTCATTATTTTATGTGTGCGTTGTCATCTACAGATTCACCTCTCACACGCTCTACGTAACTTCAACCTCGGAAATGGTACACTAAACCAGTTAAATAAATAAATTCTATTCTTGCTACATTTTGTTCTGAAATTTGTCCCAAAACTTTCGTAACATACGTTACTTAGCCCTCCAAAACAGAATTAGGAAAAATCAATGCCACCACAGACCACAAATGTAGACTTAATTGACTGCATGAATTTAAGGAGATTCGAAGAAGTCTCGAGGCATCGCTGCTTTCAATTTTTTCAAAAAAATTCCAGAACAACAGTAACTGCATGGTGTCAGAAAAGCATGAGATAACTGTCAGTGTAAATATTTCCCATCTTGTTTTATCCGGAAAGACAGAAAAATACATTTGACTTTCAATTTGACATTTTTGGTACCAATCGAAAGGTTCTTTGTCATTTTGTGATGGATATTATTTTACAAACGTAAATTAATTATGTTTTTTTTATACCTACCTTTTGTTGTACGTGCATTTCAATAACACCCTGTATAAAAAAAAAACTGGTATTGAAGTATGGCATTTGATGAAATTTAAGTAAGATTTACCATGCAAAATTTTGGTTAGCCTTTTACCCATTATACCTGCACGATATTCCTAGAATACTCGTACATATAAAAAATATGACAATAACCAGTTTAGTAGTTAGTTTTAGATTATTATCTGCTAATGGCATACATACGGAAACGGGGGATCCATTTTTTCATAGTCTAGAGATCATGAAACGTCGAGAAAACATGAAATTAACTCGTCGCTAGATGGACCCTGTGAAAAAATACATATATTAAGTAAAAATAGATTTTCGATCGATTTTGCAGCAGCCTTTTTGCGTTTGCCTTTGTGAAAAGTGTATGGAACAACGTAATTAACTGTATAACTTGACTAAAAAATTTATCAGTAAAAAATAAAAGCAGCTATTTTTTCTCTAGACAGGAATTTCATTAGAAAAAAAAATGTGATTGGAAAACTTGACGTCATGTTTATTTCTATGTATCTTTCTATGGATCTCAATTTACCGTTAAATTTACCATTTTCCAAATTTGGTGATAATTTTTATTATACGATTTAGCATGAACATTATACTGAAAATTAGTTTTGAAATACTTACCCTCTCTTTCTCTGGATTTTTTCCCTGCAAGTCAAGACCATGACAATTAGCACGTTTTGATAAAAACCCCCCTTAAACGAGGCTTTATTCACGATTGTGGGGTAAAATACGACGGCATAGTCGCACACACACAACATTTTATATTTGGGGGTGGTTTTATATTTGAGCAGGTGTATTTGCAAGCAGTGATCCGCGTGGCCGCCCGCCAGCTGTCACCGTGACTGCGTCCCGCCACCACATCAACTTCATCATCCTCTGGATTGATTACTTACTGAAGAACCGACCCAACCGCAAAAACTAATAGTATTTTTTCTATATACTTTCGTATTAAAAAAACAATTAATTCCGAGATTAAAGCGACAATGAAAATCAAGATAGAACGACGCGTGCTGCACCAAGAGAATTGCCATATTATGAGAGACAGCTGGTCCATTTCTTCAACCCTCTAGAGAGGGTCGCAGTCGGCAGGTCAGAGGGCATCGAGCCGTCGTGACTTACGTCGGACGTCTGAGTCTGCACCTGGCTACAGTCTGTTACTAATAATGTGCCACCGACTAATAGCTAAAATATGTATTTCACTTCCTCATAAGAATGCACATTTTAAGCAAAATTAATCATTAAATTTGCCTACAGTTGAACGAAATAATCTGTATGTGTAGGTATAACGAAGATTTAAGGACAGTAGTTCAACAAAAATTGAATCCTAATTTAAGTAAGCGAATTTTACGAAACTTAAAAAGGCGGCGATAATCAATAGCGTGAACCGGTTCACAAATTAATTTTTTGAGACATCGTGAATGCACATTTGGTAGTTATAAACCGGAAAAGAATACTAAAGTAAGACAAATAAATCTCGTGTTTTGAGTTTGAGATAAATTGTAAATTTTCTTCGTTCAAGTACCATTTTTTAGAAAGTTTAGAAAAAAGAATGGCAATGTCTTGTTAAACCACAAGTAAAGGACCTCTTACGCCCCACATTTTAGAAAAAATATATATTTCAAATTTTAGAGCAACCTACATTGTCCCTTCCGCATTGTTCACTCAAAATATTTCCTGGCGTACAAAAAAAAACAATCACCCTGCAATATTTCGCAAAAACAATTAAAAATTATTAATTTAACTAGTGATTAAATGCAGAATTATATTTAATTTAAGAAAATAACACTGTGATATTCAATTTAACAAAGATGTGGTCAAATGAAAATAATTACGACACTGTTTCAGTGACATTTTAGAAACTTCAATTGTGGATCAGTTCACAAAGAAAAATTTTTATACAAATCAAAGTGCAGTACTTTTCAACGGCTGCACTGTACAACGTAATTTTAGGATCAAGACTGCAAATAAAATATGTTAGTACTTTAGTAGACTCGAAGGTTTTTAATAAACAGATTTTTTGTAGCATTGCCTGATTTTTTAACTCATCATTTAGGTGCGTGTTTCTGTACTCAAGGAAAACTTGATTCGCCTTTGCTTTTGTGAGTACTTATTTAGCCACTTAATTTAACTCCTTTAGTCAAAGCTTTATGGTTGGTAATGTACAAGGGATAGCACTACGTTACGTTAAATCTGTTCAATTTCAAGCACAAATTTTTTGAGAACAGTCCAGGGTCACAGAAGAAATTCTTGTACATACAAGGTGTAGAACTCGGTATTTTCGACGTGTGAATTATATGACAGGCAGATAGCATTTTCCATATTATTTTATGCGAGTTCCAGCACAGCAGGTGAAATAAAATTCTCTAATCGATCACTGTTGTCCCGACTTATCCATATAAACCACCTTTTGCTGTTAAAGCCAGACATGGACAAACAATACAACTTTGTAGCGTTTTCAGGTAAAAAGAATATTATTTGTTGATATAATGTTACCAACGGAGATCAGCATTTTCTGGCTTACTTTGCGACTTCCAAATGATTGACATACTACGCATAGGCCATTTGTACGTAAATTTAAACGAATGAAAAAGTGGTAGAGACGTCAAAAATACTTTCAAAACCACTCCTTATCTTCATGTATTAGTTTTTAAATTAAGTAAAAATAAAATTCAAAATAAGTATTCACTGTGAAGTGTTATCTAGTAGTTAATGTGAAGCAAGTAAGCAGCTATAAGCTCCATTTCCTGACTTGAATCTCAATTTCAAAATAATTAAACTTATTTAATAAAGATACACAGATTTAAAATTTGCGATGAATTATGGAGTCTGATTCGTGAGAAAGGTAAGATTAATGAATTAAAAAAGAAATTATTTTAATGTTTTGTGTATAATTTTTTTATTTCAAGTGGAGTAATAAAGGATCACTATTGTGGAAAATTATAGCTACACATGGAAATGCAGTAATTAGTAATTAATTAACTAATAACACCACAACAAGGTGTAACCACTTCACACCTTTTTTACAAATAAATTATCATCTTATTTTGCTTTTTATGTTCTGGTTGTGAAACGGGTTTACTGAGGTTGGTGAATTTACATTAAATGTCAAAAAGCCGTGGACACTACTCCATATGAATAAGGCACCAAGTCTTAAGGCAAAAAACTTCTCAACTTTTTTTTCACGTTTTTACCCTAAACTGCAATTACTTATTGATAAACTGTCTATTTTTTAACAATAAAGTTAAAAATTTAAAAAGTAGATAGTTGGTTTAGTACCTATTTGTTTAATATCTAAGTAATATGTATTTGTGCAAATCTTTTTTTTTTGTAATTCAATGTGCGGAATTGAATTCAACATTCAAAAGGCGAACATTGTGTATTGACGATTTGATGACTTTTATTGTTCAATATCCAGTTTACTTGTTCAATATCATTCGATTTGCGTTGAGTGATTTCGCATTAAATTATTCAATATCTAATTTACAAAGTTTCAAGTAGGCTACGTCACATGAAATGTTAAAACTACATATTCTCAACACTAAAACAGTATGTGTGATTGTTCTTTTTAACTATTCGAAAATGACTGCGGAATGTTAAAACTTGGGAAGGAAATGTTCGTAAAGAAAAAAAAACGGGCGGTTTATTAGAATACATTGATTCATGTGGACAAAAACATCAAAAAAGGTAATTATTTCCAGCTAATTGTAATTGTCACTTCATAAATAAATAAATAAATAATCCTTTATTATCCAACAGTTATTACAACTCATTACAGGATAATATTACAGCAAAAAAAAGAAAGAAAGAAACGCGAAGCTAAACAAATAAAAAAAAAGAAAAAGAAAACAAAAATCCCTAAACTAAAACCTGGAAATAATATATTTTTTTAATCTATCTAAACTAACTGTAAAAATATCAATTTCAGCGCAAAACTGATCAGGGCTCTATTCCACCAACATTTCTGAAAACTTTGCACTTTGCGCTTTTCACTTTTCAGAAATTGAAAAGTGCAAAGTGTTTTTGTTCCACCAAGACTTGAAAAGTACTTTGCGGAAAGTCGTTCAAAATTTAAAATTTGCAAAGTTTATTGATAATCAAGTTACCGGCTGTTATTTTCTTGCATCATATTATCTTCGTCTGGGTTATCGTTGTTCATCTCTTCGCGATTAGGGTAGTGATCTTCTTCTCTTCCAATTATTTTTGCAACATTGTGCAAAGTGGCACATGCCAGTACAATCCGTGCAGCCTTTTCGGGATTTGCCCGTAGGTCGTTTAAACACGGAAATTTTTCTTTTAGTATCCCATAAGAATCTTCCACCAGTTTCCGTGTCAATTTATGGGCGTTGTTGTACCGCCTTGCATCTTCGGCACCAGGGTTTCTATGGAGAGGAGTCATCAACCACGGTCGTGTTGCGTAAGCTGAGTCACCCAAAATGACTGCTCCTGGAAAAAGCCTCCATCCTTGTTCAAACTTTCTATAAATTGCGGTGTTTCGAAAGACTCTGGAATCGTGGACGCTTCCAGGCCAATTTGCGTTAACTGCATAAAAATAATTATTTGGGCCGCATATCATCATGACATTTAATGAATGATCGCCATAGCGATCAACGTAGACTTCTTCATGATTAGAAGGGCTATCGATGTTTATTAAGGTGCCATCAACACATCCACAGACACATGGGAATCCACCTTTGCGCAAAAATTCCATGGCAATGTTTTGTGTATTTTCTGGCCATCTAACTTCCTCTTGAAACATTGTATCAATGATGATGTTGACAACTTTCTGAATACTTCGACAAACTGTCGATTTTCTTACGCCGTGCATGATGGCTATCCCATGCATCTGGGCCCCATTCCCTAGCCAATGTAGTGTCAACAATAGTTGCTGCTCCGCTGTTAGAGCATGGTTTCTTCTATTTGCAGGGGCTAACCTAGCTCCGATTTTGCCTAAGACATACTTCACTTGTACCTTATTTAACCTGAATGCTTCTTTAAAATCAAAGTCGTTTTCAATGGTAAAATGTACCCTTTCTTTATATATTTTTCGCCTTGGTGGACTTTCATCTTCATTTTCACTAGATTCATCGCTTGAAAACAATATTCTTCTTATCATTTTGCAATCACTTTGACAACGCAAGGTTTATAGACCACTTTGCGTCTAAATTGCAAAATGAGTAAATTTTGCACTTTTACTTTCTAAAATTTTATAATGGTGGAACAGAAAATTAGAAAACATAACGTAAAGTTTATACTTTTCACTTTTCATTTTACTTTACCTTAATAAATTATGATGGGTGTGGTGGAACGCAAAGTACGTTTGAAAAGTGTAAAGTGTAAACTGCAAAGTTGCAAAGTGAATGGTGGAATAGGCCCCAGTTCTTCTACACGTAGAAATAATCGGTGATTGTGCATAATGGCGCGTCGAGGCCGTAGGTAAATAAAATAACTTAGGAGCTCTACAGTTCAAGCGGGGCACTAAGAAATTTACAAATTCCAGTAAGTACCCATCAGAAATTTTACCTTGTATAAGTTTAATGAGAAAAATAACCTCAGACAAGTGAATAGTTGCACTTGGTGAAGGAGGAAAAATTATACACCAACAATTCTGGTCATTATCAGATTTAAAATAGTCTCATTTATCTAATAAATTTACAAAAATTAGTAAACCCAGAATAAAGCAATCCCCAAAAAACAGCCAATTTATCGTTATTCCTTTGAAATACTGTATGAAAGGAGAGACGTTTGTAAGATCTAGTTAATATATTAGTTAACAAAGAGTTTACTATTTTTATAAAAACATTCAAAATTTAGAAATAAACATACCTTGTTCTTCTTTTAGAACGAAACATATCAAAAAATCAAGGAGCTCTGATTTACCTGAAGAAATTGAACGGCATAGTCTGTCTGGCACCATACTGTAAAAAGCACATTGTCTAATCTTTATATGCAATAAGTAGAGAACCCTGTAAAAAGTCATATCTACAGGAAAATATTCAATGATGTGAGGAATTTAATCTAGAGTTTCGTTACCCCAAAAAAATGTCTCCAAAGCCTGCCGAAATGGAAATTAATGGAAAAATATATTAAAAAATTATGTAAAAAACAAAGGAGAAACTAGGCCAGAAAGACTGTTATTTAGATCGAGAAATAAATGTAAATCGCATGGCAGTAGTTTTCTTTTTGATTTAGAAAGTGGTCTCATATAAAAAAAACTAATGATGGCAGCTTTTTTACGGAACTAAATTAACAGTGTATAACTTGACAACTTAATGTAACTTTAATAAGACGTCGTATTTGCTCCGAATTTCCTCTCTTGGACGAAGGAAAAACAATAATTGCTTCGGCCGTAGTTAAAAATCTGAAAAAAATATTGCATGATATACCAACTAGCAGCTAATTTATTTCATGGTTCCTCAAAATAGGAACTCACTAAGTAATGAGATTAGTCTTACAAGATTTTTAAATCTGGAAGAATTCAAAAACGTCCAATCTATAGCATAGAAATTTTGACAATCGGTCACCACTGCTGTCTTTCTGATGTAGTACATTTAAAACAAATTACACGAGAGGAATTCACAAGAATTGCCAAAGATTAAAATTTTGAAAGAAGAACCATAAATTAGGAATAAAAAGATAACAGAGTTTAAATATACAGGGTCGCTAAATATCTTGAGATCTTGAGAACCAATTGTACATATATACAAATCAACTGAAATTAGATATAGGGGTACTAGAAGTTGTGCTCTAATTATTGGTCAAAAAAATTTTTTTTTGCTTCGTTTTTAACTTTTTTTTTAATTCATTGATATAGCACAAACATACTTTCTTTCTGATTGAAACAGCAAGATAAATCATTAAATAGTAATTAAATAAATTAACCAATAACAACCGAAACCAAAATTAAACTTCTGTTTTCTACAAAAGATGCTCAAAATGCACTCCATTTACTTCTTGGCGGTAAACAAGGCTGAATAAAATTTTGTAGTGGGTTAATAAGAACTTCTGGATGAATGATGAATGCTAGCAATTTCGTTAAGTATGTATTCCTGTAATAAGTCTTTAATGTGAATCGGTCTGTTGATATAAACGCGATTCTTCAAATAGCCCCACAAAAAAACTCTAGCGGTGTCAAATCCGGTGACCTGGCAGGCCACTCAATAGTACGTCTTCGACCTATCCATCTGCAAGGAAAAATTTCATTTAAGAACTTGACGTCCAAAATGAGGTGGAGCACCGTCTTGTTGAAACCACATAGTTTCAGCTGGTAACTCCGGATTTGGGTAATTGGGAAACAATTCTCTAAGTATAGACATTATAGGTCTCATTAATAAAAAATGAACCGATTACATGGTAACCAATAATACCGCACCAAACATTCAGTTTTTCTGGACGCTGTGAGTGGATTTGCTCCATCCAGTAGTTGTGTCTGTTCACATGACCATTTAAACAAATGGTAGATTCGCCAGAGAACAAAATCCTGATGATGAAATTTCCGTCTTGTTGTATTCTGTTCATAATAATTTCGATAAATTCAATTCTACGATCAAAATCATTTTCGTTTTCCTTTTGTACCAAGTGGATTTTGTATGGGTGAAATTTTTCCTTTTTCATTATTGTTTGAATTGATTTTCTACTAACATTGTGATTAAGCGCTAATTGTTACACTGAAGTTTTGGGATTTTCTGTTGCGTCTAAGAGGACATTCGTCATTTGTAGTAGTTTTTGGCCCGCCAGGTTTTCTACGTTCTTTAACACTTCCAGTTTCATTAAATCTTTGTAGGGTTTTTGAAATCGTCGACTTAGAAATGGGTTCTCGCTCATTGAAAAGTGTTACTATACTTGCGCAAAACTTCGTCTTTTGTCACCGTAACCGACAATCATTAATAGTTCTATGTGTCAGTTTCACTTAGATGCACTATTTTTTCCTTACATGTTAAATTAAAATTATTTTCAAAGATATCTAGGGCATATTTCTTTTTTTTTTATTTATTCTTATTTAAAATAATTTATTTTGCTATTTTAATCAGAAAGAAAGTTATCAATGAATAAAAAAAGTTCTATTCAAAAATGCATTAATTGTATTGTAGTGCCATTTCAAAAAAATCAAGTTGGCCTTGCATCTCGAAAACAAATGAAAAAAAAAATTTTGTTTACGAATATTTAGACGAAACTTGTTGTACCACTATACCTAATTTCAGTTGATGTGTATAATTGGTTCTCAAGATATTTAACCGTTTCCATACATTTTAGCGACTCTGTATATGTATATGTTCAAATGTGTATGCCACATGGAGACCAAGCGTTTTTTGTAAAATGATCAGAAAATAAGTTAGGTTAGGGACGAAATTTTTCAATATTGTTTCATTACTTTCGAGTTAAAATTCTGATTGTTCGGATGTTTAATAAAAACGTTATATTTTGTGTGCGCTTATTTAAACAATAAATTATTGTATCTAATATCTAATGAAGACATCAAGTTATAAAAAAAATCTGTCTTGTTCAATCTTGAAATTTTTTGTGCTATATTTGTGTTAATTATGACAAAAATAATACCTGCTATGATTAAATCTACATAATTGATAAATCTTAAAAAAAAATGGGGTCGCCCTTTCATTTATTTGAATTGAAAAATTTTGTTTTTGCTTTGATGACCAAGTAAGTAAGTACTGAAAAAAAATTGCAATTCTATGACTTCACGTAATTGTCGTCTAGATTATTTGGTCGGCTGAAAATTTTCTTACGCATGAGTATATTTTTATAATCGTCTATTTCAGTTGCATGCAAACAATTTTTAGTGGCTAGCAAATTCCTTAATTCCTTTCTGATATGAATCTCCTTTTGTTATGGTCTTCCCAACTGATCTTAGGGTATTACATCCCTCGTACTGATTTTAAGGTCTCCTACTTATACTGCCTCGTTTTCTACAGTTTTTACCTGACAGCAGGAATGAAGCAACATTCAAAATTAACATTAATGAACCCTCCCATTGTTTCATTATAATTAAAACAAACCATCAATGGCGGCCGAAAATTCGAATAACGTTTAAATGGTGACGTCACGGGCCTAGTCTTTCCTATTGGCTATGAACACACATTTTCCGTAATCAATTAAATATTCACGATTTATCAGGTGGTAGGTCGAAGATATCTGCTGGCGGAAATTTTAAAATGATAAATGTGTAATTTTTTATGGCACAAAATAGAATATATATAATTAAAAGTAATAACGACAATATAGCCATACAGGAAAAACACATTAATTGATTACTTGTTCGACGGTACTGCCAATTCAAATTTACGACGCAGGTCTTTTTATCAAACTGTCTTCGGTTGTTCATTCACTGTAACTTCAACTCTTGTCTAGTGGTAAATATACCATCATTCACTACTAATTGCTTAATTAATATTACATACGGTTTAGCAATATCGCATCTGTGTCTGACGGTCATGGTTTTGAAGGTGCATTATTGTATCGATGATCACCTAATTACCGTCATGGTTTATTTCTGTCTGGTATATTAAATAAAGTAGAAAGTAAATTTGTTGGGTGCCCAACCATCATCAGGTAGGCGCGTGTCAGCTACGGTTCTAACGTTACGTTGCAGGTAGTACGCGTTCTTCATTCGTCTCTACATTGGACACATGGTCTCCGCAAACAGTTGCACACCCTCTCCGGCCATACAGAGAGGACCTAATTGATTGGAAATTATTCTCGTATTAATTTTTCAGCGGCTCGAATCATTATGTTACCGTATATTTTGCCAGATATACCCATACCTACATGTTCCATATGACTGCCCGACCCTACAACTATGCTTGTCAACATTACCGTGGGTTAGACGAACTGACAGGTTTACAATACCGGTAACTCTGTTGAAATATTATATTATGAGTTTATATGATTTTCAACGTTCTATTAAATCCGCTTTCGTTTCTAAGTTTCAGTCAAATTTTAATTTCATGCTTTCGCATGATTTTATTTATTGTGTTTGCACCTTTTTATCATTTTGTTGGTTTATCACTGAGAGCTAGTGGTTCAGATTTGTAGTGTGTATCCGCATCCTAAGCAGATGCCTCTTATTTATCGGCAGGTGGTCCGTAATGGTTCAATTGT